ACCACCACCACCACACCCAGGCATTAGATTGGACTTTAATGTATATAAACTTCTTGCCTTTGCCTCTGAAGTGCTAGGATTATAGATGTGCCCAGCTTGTAAATTTTTTGAAGTCACTGAGAATTGCCAGTTAACATATTAACTTATGTCATTAGGCAGTGTTCTTTTAGCCCAGTATTTCTTAAGTGAGAATACCAATGTTACCTTATAGGTTTACTGCAACAGTTTGGAAAGCAGTAATTCAGGGTTTATAAAGCTAATGATAGTAGTTAGGAAAATAAGCCATTTCTAATCCCAGCACTCGGGAGGCAGAAACAGGCCTGTGAGTTCAAGGTGAGTTCTAGGACAGCCAGGGCTACATAATGAAACCCTGTCTCAAAATAAAACAATTTTTAAAAATAACCATTTCTAGGACTGAAAATATAGCTCAGTGGTACAGCACTTGCCTCATGTGCATGGGATCCTGGTTTGATCCCCAGTACCAAAGACAGTTTCTTACTGCAAGATAGCCCACACATGCCGCAGTATAAAACCTTAAGTATGGGACTGGAGAGAGAGCTCAGCAGTTAAGAACACTTGACTGCTCTTGCAAGGAACCTGGGTTCAAATCCTAGCACCCACCTGGAGGCTAACAACCATCTGTAACTCCAGTTCTAGGGGATCTGATGCCCTCTTCTGACCTGCACAGGCACTGCATGACATAGGTGCACTTACATACATGTAGGCAATACACTCATTCACATGAATGAATGAATGCACTACACATACATGCAGGCAGTACACTTGTTCACATAATGAATGAATCAATGAATGAATGAATAAAATAAAAATAAAAAAGCTGGATGTGGAGGCACACATCTTTAATCCTAGCACTCAGGAGGCAGAGGCAGGCAGATCTCTGTGAGTTCAAGACCAGCCTGATCTACATAGCGAGTTCCAGGCCAGCTGGGCTACAGGGAGACCTTGTCTCAAAAAGACAAAAAAGAAAAACCTTATATATATAATTGTGAATGTTCACAAAGTGAGCATATTTCTGTAGCTTTGTTTTTGTATAGTACTGCTCTTTGTCTTTAACAAAATTCTCATAGAAATTCCACTTTTTTTTAAGACAGGGTCTCTTTGTAGCCTGGAGCTTTGCTATGTAGACCAAGCTGGCCTGGATCTCACAGAGATCTACTTAGCAAGTTCCAGGCCAGCTAGGGCTCCAGGGAGACCCTGTCTTTAAAAAAAAAGAAAGAGGACTGGAGAGATGGCTCAGCGATTAAGAGCACTGACTGCTCTTGTAGAGGACCCGGGTTCAATTCCCAGCACCCACATGGCAGCTAACAACCATCTGTAACTACAAGTTCAGGGAATCTGATGTCCTCTTTTGATCACCATGGGCATTGCACAACATGGGTGCACTTATACACATGTAGGCAATACACTTAATGCACATAAAATAAAAATGATAATAAATAGCCGGGCGTGGTAGCACATACCTTTAATCTCAGCACTTGGGAGGCAGAGGCAGGAGGATCTCTGTGAGATCAAGGCCAACCTGGTCTCCATAGTGAGTCCAGGCCAGCTAGGGCTACAGGGAGACCCTGTCTTGAAAAACAAAATAATAATAGTAAATAATGCCGGGTGTGGTGGCACACACCTTTAATCCCAGCACTTGGGAGGCAGAGCCAGGAGGATCTCTGTGAGTTCAAGGCCAGCCTGGTCTACATAGTGAGTTCCAGGACAGCTGGGGCTACAGGGAGACCCTGCTTCAAAAAGACCGAAAAAAAAAACAAAAATAAAAATAATAATAGTAAATAAAATATTTTTTAAATACAACCATTAAAAAAGGAGCATTGTGGGGACTAGAGAGATGACTCAGCTGTTAAGAGCACATACTACTCTTAACAGAGGACTCAAGTTTGGTTTTCAGCACCCATGTTGGGCAGCTCACAACTGCCTGAAACTCCAGCCCCAGGAGAATCCAATACCATCTTCTGGTCTCTATGGGCACCTTTGCTCATGTGCACCCCCCCCCCACACACACACTTAAAATCTTAATAGAAATTTTTAAAAAGTAAAAGAAAACATTGTTGGGGGCCCTTAAGATGGCTCAGAAGATAAAGGCACTTGCTGTCAAGCCTGCTCACCTGAATTCAGTCCTCACAAAAGAGAGAACTGACTCTGAAAAGTTGTCCTCTGATCTCCACAGGTGTGTCCATGCACACATGCACAAAATAAACAAATGTAAAAAAAAAAAATGTCTTTTAAAGCATTGTTTTGTGGTCTCTAGAAATTATGGTTTGTACTTTTTGGTTTCTTAACTATATTAGCTCTTTAGACATTTGCAATTTTTAAGAAATTCTAAAACTTCACTCAGAGTAAATATTGCTTTTCTTAGTTTGTAGGAGGAAAATATAGGCTTTTAAAGATTTTTAAGTGAAAGAATTAATAACTACAGAATTATTGGCATGTAGCATCTAAATAGGGTTTTTCTTTCAGTCCTGATGGTACACTGTGATGTGGAACTTGATCTGGTGCATCTTCTGTAGCTTAGGTTACTAATCAGAAGCAAATCAGCAGCAGTTTGTGTGTCAGGCTGAGAAATCCTAGACCAACCGGGAGGAACTTTAGAGATGGTCAGCTGCAGATGAGGAAACTGTAAGGCCACGTGCCTTACCAGTGGCACCAGATCTGTTTAGAACCCCATGCCAAATCCCATTATCGAACCATGCTAAAACTGTATTCTCATTGAAAAACTTGCCTCTTACTAACAGCTTAGTTCCTTCCCTCTGTGAAATCAGCATCTCATGAAAGAATTACTTAACGACGTGCTTCCAACCAGACTTCTTAATGGGGATAAACCTGACAGTATCGACCTGTTTCGAATATGTCTCTTGGGTTACTTCAAGTGAATAAGGGACAGCATGGCATCCGTAATTGTTAAGAGCTGTTCTGAGAGTACAGTGAACTAGAATAACCCTGGTGACAAGGAAAGTGTGGTGTGATGGACTTGTGACCCTTCCCTAGGGAGTGAGCTCTGTCTGGAGACCTGCAGGACTACTGGAACACAAGGTTTCTAGGCTGTGCTGCAGGTCTGGGACAGGAGTGCTGGTGACCACACCTGCAACATGACCAACAAGGGTTATAATTTGGGGGGCTTGAGGGTTTTTTTAAAGGTTCTCCTAAAGGTAGGTAGGAGAATTCAACTGTTCTTTGGTTTTCTATTAGAGGGCTGGGAACATTATTGAGTAAGCACTGATCACTGTGGTAGGCCCTGGGGACTTATTACTTAATAAAATGTGTATGGGGCTGGTTGTGGTTGCACACACCTTTAATCCCAGCACCTGGGAGGCAGAGACGGGCAGATCTCTGTTAAATTGAGGACAGCCAGAGCTACATAGTGAGTTCCAGGCCAGCTGGGTCTACAGAGAGACCCTATCTCAAAAAACTAACCAAACAAACAAAAAACAGGTGTAAGTTTCTGCTCTGTGAAGCTGACAGTTTCTAAGAGAGATCACTTTTGCCCTCTAGAAATCTTGACTCTGTTGGTATACTGGATTAGTGATATGCACAAGTTTTATCAGCGACTGGACATGGTAGTTCAGTGTAGAGTGTGTGCTTAGCATGAGCAAAGCCCTGGGTTCAGTCCTCAGCACCTGGGAAAAAAAGAAGAAACTAAAAGAGTGTCTTAGAGCCTCACTGCACTTCCTAGGCCTGACCTTCAGCACTGCTGTTCGTGAGCCCATTTGATCCTTTTCTATTGTTTCTAGTATAGGTCTTCCTCAGAGACCAGACTGAGTGCATGTCTCCAATATCTGTGGCTGTTCCTACCTTTGATTTTCTAAGTATTTGGGATGCTCCCTCCTTCCCTTCTATTTCACTAAACCCTGTCCAGCCCTGTCCAGGGCTGAATTCCTTCCTCATTCTCTGCATAGCTTTTCCAGTCTCTATAGAACACAGATAACACATCTGTCCTGTGCTGTGGATAAAGTAGTTTATAGCTTGGCCTAATGGGGAAGAGAATGGACTCTGAGGTTACAGCCTGGGGGATCTTAGAGTACAAGATTTTCTTGGCCTATATTTCATCTGGAAAAAAATAAGAATAATAATTGCAATTGGTCCTTGGTCCTGCTGATTAAATTATTTGATACCACTATAACCTGTAGGACAGTGCCAGGTACAGCAGTTCTCACTAAGGAATAGTTGTTACCAGGCTTCCTCCTAGTGTGCCTTTAATCACAGCCTTGCTTATGTTATTCATTGTTTTGTCTACTTTTTACTCCTATTGAAATTATAAAGCCCTACTATGAAGAAAGGGACTTGATTTTCCCTTTTCTATTGACCTTTAGTAAAAGGCTGTAGTAACTTGTTCATGTATAGTCCCTAGTACACATCACTTAAAATGGAATTATTATATTAAAATAGATGGAGCAGGCAGTAAGGAATTGAGGAGTAAGACAGGCTTCAGCTTACAGAGTTTTCCTACATTCTTTCAGATAGTTTTCTTTCTTGCTGTTGAGTCTAATGAGCCCTTCTGCCATAATCACCAAAAATGTGGACACCCCTTTTAGCAAGGAGGCTAGCAGTTTCAGGAAGTGGATGTAGATTCTGGTGTCTTATAGCCGTATGAGAGTCTCTCAAAAAAAAGTAAGTGGGGTAGGTCATGAGGTAGTTGTTTGGGCAGACTTTCCTTGCAGAGGGAATCACACTGGTAGGAAGACGACTTTAGTTTTTAGCCACCTTCTCTGTTTTCCTCTCCTCCTTTATATGCAGTTCAGATACTCAAAAATTCCATTGGCACCTGCCAGTGTCATAAACATTGAGAATGGAAATCAAAAGCCCCAGTGAGGTGAGATCTAAGGTAAAGTCACGCAGTAAAGCTAAGCACATTACGACATCAATGCAGTGAGGCTCCAGCCATCCACCCCACAGTCTTAAGACTTTAGCCAGGGTCCCTCTTGAATCCTCAAGGTGCCCTCTCCCAGATGAAAATGCTGCCTTTCTTCCTTTCCTAGGCTGGAACAAGACATTAAAAAGCTAAAGGCAGACCTGCAAGCCAGCCGGCAAGTGGAACAAGAGCTCCGTAGTCAGATCAGCTCCCTCTCAAGCACGGAACGAGGGATCCGTTCAGAAATGGGCCAGCTCCGGCAGGAGAACGAACTGCTGCAGAACAAGTAAGTGCACCTCTTTAGGCCCTGGGCAGCCGGTGTCTCCCCTGTCACCAGGGGATGAAGCCTGAGATCTGTCTTTTTGTTTGTTTTGTTTTTTAAATTTTATTTATTATTTTTATTTTATGTGTATGTGTGTATTGCCTGAATGTAGGAAAGTGCACCCGAGTTGTGCAGTGCCCGAGGAGGTCTTAGCATTGACCTCTAGGAAACATTCCAATGATTAGTTCCCCTCACTTTGGCATGGACAGCTGAATGACTGGATTTGGACCTAAGAAAGTCTTTCTGTTTGAAAAGGAAAGGTTGCAGCATGACTGTATTCAGAAGGGTCAGTGTAGTGGTGCACACCTGTAATCCTAGTGCTCAGGAGACAGACAGGAGGATTGCCAAAAGTTCAAGGCCAGCTTGAACTGTAGAGTGAGACTCTGCCTCAAAAACAAACTGCAACAGTTGGGGGAAAAAAAGACCTCTTCCTCTTAAGTTTCAATGGGACTGGTACCATCAGTGGTCTTTGTTTTACTCAGATTTTTTCAAGGTGCCTTGGGTCATTAGAATTACTTTTTTTTTTTTTTTTTGGTTTTTTTGGGACAGGGTCCCCCTGTAGCCCCAGCTGACGTGGAACTCACTATGTAGACCAGGCTGGCCTTGAACTCACAGAGATCCACCTGCCTCTGCCTCCTGAGCATTGGGACTAAAGATATGTGCTGCCACACCCAGCTGAGAATTAATTCTTCCACCACCTTCTCTCTTTTTTTTGGGGGGGGGGTTGGTTTTTGTCTTTTTGAGACAGGGTCTCCCTGTAGCCCCAGCTGACTTGGAACTCACTATGTAGACCAGGCTGGCCTTGAACTCACAGAGATCTGCCTGCCTCTGCCCCCCGAGTGCTGGGGTTAAAGGCATGCGCCACCATGCGCGGCTCTTTTTTTTTTTTTTTTTGGTAAATATTTTATTATTTTCATTTTATGTGTATGAGTGTATTGCCTTCATGTATGTGAGTGCACCCGTGTCATGCAGCGCTGCAGAGGTCAGAAGAGGACCTCGGTTTCCCCTGGTTCTGGAGTTAAGGACAGTTTATAGCTGCCATGTAGATGCTGGGAATCGGACTCAGGTCCTCTGCAAGAGCAGTCAGTGCTCTTAACCGCTGAGCCATCATCTCTCCAGCTCCCCACCTTCTCTTTTAGTGGCTTTTTGTAGCACATCTTCTGGATTGCCTGCTGTAGATCACTTACCTTACAGATTGGAGGGCAGGGCTGATTCTGGGTCATAGAAGGCAGGGGGCTTATTGGTATTTAGGAACTGTTAGATAGTAATAACCGTGTGTTTTCTCTGGGCACACTGGGAGTTGATACTTTGTTGTTCAAGCCTCCCATTTACCTGCACAACAGGGAAGAAAAGCTGCCTTAGCAACCATGTTTAAGGGCTTATCAGGAGTGTCTCTAATTGAAAGACTGTATGACAATAGGTTACATAATGCTGTGCAAATGAAGCAGAAAGACAAGCAGAGTATCAGCCAGCTGGAGAAAAAGCTCAAAGCTGAGCAGGAAGCCCGAAGCTTTGTAGAAAAGCAGCTGATGGAGGAGAAAAAAAGGAAGAAGTTAGAAGAAGCCACTGCTGCCCGAGCTGTTGCCTTTGCTGCTGCATCTAGGTATGTCCATGCCACCTGAGTGTTCAACCAAGGTTGACTTCCTGTCCTAAGAAGAACATTGCAAATTTAATGCTTGGGTAGGATTGAACAGACAACATGCATACATGGATGGTTTGTTTTCTGGGTGGGTTTTAGTTTTGGTTTTAGTGGTTGTTTTTTGTTTATTTTTATTTATGTGTATGAGTGTTTTGCTTGCATGTGTGTAACTTGCACCCATATTGTGCAATGCCCACGGATGCCAGAAGAGGGCATCAGATCCCCTAGAACTGGGGTTGCAGATGGTGGTTTGTTTTGTTGCTTCTGCTTCACCTTCTGTTTGCTTTTCTGATGAGTGGCGTCCATCTACATGGGGGTCAGCTAGTGGGCTGCAGATGCAGAGTGAGAATAAATTATTTCACTTGAATTGTTTTATCTGAATCTATATTTATGTGGTATAATTCAACTGTAATTGTTTCTTGAGTTTCCTTTATTGTATTAAACCAGTAACTTACTATTTGTCTTTTTAGAGATTTGTAGGATAATCTCAAGTAGGTGAGTTGTCATTTTACCCTTTTAGCCAATAGCAGTGAGTAGTGAGAACTCTTTTTCCTAAGTGAGCATGACCCCCACCTGTGGCTCAATTAGCTGGCTGGGCCCATGTGGTCCATGTACACTCAGATAGACTCAGAGCCCTTGGTCATCCTTGGACCTAAGGTACCTTGTTTGAATAAGTTTGAGTGTTTTTGGAAGAACTTGGGCCTGCAGAAGTGGGACCTGTATGCTCCTTAATTCTTAACTCTTTTTGAACTGTCCACTGAGGAGGTTAATCACACAGCTTGGTGTCTCCATGCCTGAGAGTTGCCTTCACTGTTTGCCCTAAGTCCCTTTTGTTTCCAGTTAAGCTTCTTTGTTTTCATCTTACCTATCACTTACGTGGAGCCTGTTTTACTCTTCAGTAAATCTCTCACTGGGCCTTCCTTTGGAAGGCAGAGGACATCAGTTTTTTCTATCAGACTATTTCTGGAATTTAGCAGCTCTGGATAGTCCATGGCCACCCTCCCCTTTATCTTATCCTCAATACAACACTGAGAAGTCTGATGCTGCTCACGTCTGGTTCTGTTTACTCTAGGCCTGCAGCAACTGAAGTAAGCTGAAATTACTAACACATGGTCCTCAAAATGGGAAAACGGATGTTTAAAAGTCCGTTCTCTCTGGCTGGAGGCAGCGTGTGCTCAGGTCTACCTTGCTCTGCTTTGCATACACTGTTCCTCACTACAGCCTGATGGAAATTGTGCTGGGTTGAAGATCTAGAAAACCTCAGTTCTCACCCAAGCTCTGTGACCTTCAAGCTAGGAAATCATGAACTAATAGTATAATCTGTGGAGCTTCATCTTAGAAAATGGGATTGTGAACCCTAGGTTATAGTGACGGTCCTATGGGTAAAGTAACTAGTGTAGTGCCTGTCTTACTGAGGCACTCATTTAATAATTATTTTAGTGGGCTGAAGGGATGACTCAGTTGATAAAGTGCTTGCTGCATGAGCATGAGGCCTGGAGTTCAGTCTCCAGCATCCATATAAGAAGTGAGGTGTGGTGTACACACTCGTAATCCCAGTACTGCGGAGGCACAGACAGATCGACCCCTGGCGTTTGCTAGCCAGCCAGCTTAGCCTAGTTGGTAAGCCATAGGACCCAGTGAGAGACCCTTTCTCAAAAAGTAAGGTGGATGGCACCTGAGGAACAATACCTGAAGTTGACTTCTAATTCTACATAACACAAACACAATAAAAACAGTTATTTTAGGTCATTGTTAAAATGTTTAAGGAATAGAGAGAAAGAGCATATTGAGCCAAAGTTAAAAAATCTAGACAAACCCTAGATCATAAGAAAATATAAGTCCTGCAATATCAATACAGTCAGCTCTCTCTACCTGCAAGGTGATGTCTACAGATTGAATGAACTACAAAAATAATTGAAAGCTAGATATGGTAGTGTAAACCTGTAGTATGAAGCTGAAATAGGAGGATTGCAAGATTGTGGTCAGCCTGTGCTATATACCAAAATTCTGTTTCAAAAGAAAATATTGAGAAGCTAAATTACATTTGTGTTGAACACAGACTATTTCTTTTTTTTAATTTTATGTGTATGTGTGTATTGCCTGCATGTAGGTAAGTGCACCCATGTCGTGCAATGCCCACAGAGGTCAGAAGAGGCTGTCAGATCCCCTGGGATTGGAGTTACAGACAGTTGTTAGCTGCCATGTGGGTGCTGGAATTCGAACCTGGGTCTTCTGCAAGGACAACCAGTGTTCTTAACCACTGAGCCATCTCTCCAGCCCCCACAGACTGTTTCTTCTTGATATTGTTCCCTAAACATGCAGAATAACTTTATGTAGCACTTATATTATATTAGGTATTATGAAGTCATTTAGAAATGACTTTACCTAAGTTGTATGCAAAACTGCTATTTCATATGAGAAACGAGCTTCTGCAGATCCTAGTATCCACAGGGGTCTTGGAACCATTCCCCCAAGAATACTGGGGTGGGGGCGGGGATGTGGATGCGGATGCAGATGGGGACATTGATGCAACGACACAGCCTATAGAGTCTTTCATATCCCTTCATTTTCTCTCATCTTTTTCAAAAGGGGAGAGTGCACTGAAACCTTGCGGAATCGGATCAGAGAACTAGAAGCAGAGGGTAAGAAGCTCACAATGGACATGAAGGTGAAGGAAGACCAGATCCGAGAACTAGAACTGAAAGTTCAGGTACTGAAGAAACAGGGCTTCCTGCATACTTGAATTCCTAGTTGAACCTAAATTTGTGCTGTAGGCTGCAATGTAGAAATAGTGCCTTTGAACTAAATCCCGTTGCATCTAAAAATCTGTACTTGACAAAAAGGTTTGAAGCTCTAATCTTGTCCTGTTTGATACGGCCAGGCTCTGGACAGTCTATCACACATCACATCAGGATTTGACTTGCCAAATTCCTGTAACTTTTTTAGCTGTAGGTCATATTAGTGTCCTGTGGAACCTACATTTCTCGTTAGCCCTAACCTGTCCATTGCCAGGGATTTAACTTCCTGGATGGCTTTGAGGCAGTGCTGAACATTGTATGAGGAGGGAAGGTGCCAGGGCTGTGGACAGAGCTAGCTTTGGGGGCATCAACTTTTCAAAGTGACATTTGAAATTAATGCCACATTGTAAAGGCACAGTAATGTGAATTGTGTGGGACTGATAAGAAAACACTGACAAGTCAGTGGAGTAGAATGGATGACTTGAGACAAAGCTTCAAGTATGTAGTAAAGGTGGCTTCAGAGATAGGTAGCAAATGGGAGGATAAGCCAGTAAAAGGCTTTGGAACAGCTAGACAACTGGGGAAAAAATTAAAAGTAGAAGCTCATTAACACAGAAAAAGAAATTCAAGATAGTTGAATATAGAAAAAGAAAAGATCACGTGAAAATAGAGTAGTATTTATTTGATCTTTAGACACAAGACTTTCTAAGCATAAAACAATGGAAGAACTCATAAACAACAACAAAAGGTAGTTGAGAAAGATACTGGCTGTGTGTGGTGGTGCATGCCTTTCATCCCTGCCTTTAGGAGGCAGAGGCAGGCGATCTGAGTTCAAGGCCAGCCTACCAAGTTCCAGGTCAGCCAGAGCTACAGAGTGAGACTGTCTCAGAAGAGAAAAATAAAATCTCCAGGGGAGACAGTTCAGTGGGTAGAGGTGCTTCCTGCCAAGCCTGACCACCCGAGTTTTATCCCCAGAACCCATAGAGTGAAGGAGTGCGCCAGCTCTCATTGTCCTTTGACTCCTACATGCTCACTGTGACACATGTGCACCTACACACAGAAACACACACACACTAAATAAAAATTAAAATAAATGTTTAAAAAAATTTAAACAATGTCTTTTCAGTAATCATCAGTAACTTGCAGATTAAAATTAGCAATCACTTTTCTCCTACAAAATTGATAAGAATTTTTGTTTTGCTTTGACACAGTTTGCTTTGACACAGTCTTGCTGTGTAGCTCAAGCTGGCCTCAAGCTCATAGCAGTGCTCTTGCCTCTGTCTCCCAAGGGCTGAGATCACAAGTGTGGGTTACCATGGCCAGCCAGAAGCATTTTAAATAAATGGTAGTCTTTTATTTGGTCTTTTTGAGACAGTCTCCCTGTAGCCCCAGCTGGCCTGGAACTCACTATGTAGACCAGGCTGCCCTCCAACTCACAGAGATCCGCCTGCCTCTGCCAACCAAGTGCTGGGATTAAAGGCGTGCACCACCACACCCAGCTTGAATGATAGTCTTTTTTTTTTTTTTTTTTTTTTTTTTTGGTCTTTTGAGACAGGGTCTCCCTGTAGCCCCAGCTGTCCTGGAACTCACTATGTAGACCAGGCTGGCCTTGAACTCACAGAGATCCGCCTGCCTCTGCCTCCCAAGTGCTGGGACTACAGGCATGCACCACCACGCCCAGCTGAATGATAGTCTTAATCCTGGGGAAAGTGCTGTAAAATAGTCCTCTATGTTGGGGGAGGGGGAGTGCAGTTTTCAGCAAGAGATCATGTATTTCAAAAATACTTCTCTTTTGGAAGCAGCTGTAAGAAAAGACCCCATCAGTGATTGACACACAGAGATGTTCAGTGGAGTAGTGTAGTGGTATACTAAATAATCGAGTGTTTGCTTAAATTATAGTATTATCCATGTCAGAATATCATCAAGCCATTAAAAGGTATTTTCAGCCAGGTGTGGTAGCACATGCTTATGATCCCAGCACTTGTGAGCCTGAAGAGTTGAGATGACATAAGTTTCAAAGACTTCATCTAAAGCTTGTGTGTATGGTGGGGTTTCAGCTATGCTAAAAGATACACAAATGCATACAGAGGCCACAAGAAAGTACATTCTGTCTTTCAGTGGCTGAACTGCGAGTAATTGTCATTTTTTTCTTAGAACTTTACTATATTTCTAAGTTCTTTTTAGTAAGTTTGGATTCCCTCTGAAAAATATTCAGGCCAGGTATGAAGACAGAGGCAAGGCAGAGAGGCAGGCAGATCTCTGAGTTTGAGGCCAGCTGAGGTTACATAATGAGACCCTGTCTCAAAAAGCAAAAAATAAGGGGCTGGAGAGATGGCTCCATGGTTAAGAGCACTGACTGCTCTTGCAGAGGACCTGGATTCGATTCCCAACACCCACATGGCAGCTATGAACTGTCCTTAACTCCAGTTCCAGGGGAATCCGAAGCCCTCTTCTGACTCCGTGGCATTGCACAATACGGGTGCACTCACACACATGCAGGCAATACACTCATACACATAAAAAAAAATAATAAAGCCTTTAAAAAAGAAAAGCAAAAAATAAGTTCAATAAGTGTTGACTATATTACCTACTGCTTTAAATGGGCATTTCTACAGTTTGCTCTATCAAAAAAAACCCAAGCATTTTTGCAATTTGTAGTGTGGATTCAGGCAAATTTGCAGGTAGAAATGCACTTGACACACACTCTAAGGAATGAAGTCTAAAGCCACAAAGTACCAAGTTTCTCAGTTCTACTGGTCAAGTCAGTAGTAATAGGGGTTAATTTGTGTTTCATAAATGCCAAATCTGCCTTGTAGCATTGCTGTTTTGGTGCTGTTGACAGGAGCTTCGGAAGTATAAGGAAAACGAGAAGGACACTGAGGTGTTAATGTCAGCCCTTTCCGCCATGCAAGACAAAACACAGCACCTGGAGAACAGCCTCAGCGCAGAGACGAGGATCAAGCTGGACCTGTTCTCCGCACTGGGTGATGCAAAGCGGCAGCTCGAGATTGCCCAGGGTAGGAGAGCAGCAGGCCCTGGTTGGGTGGTGGGACTGAGAAGTCACAGGGCTGCAGAGAGCAGACATCCTCTCAGAGCTGAACCAGAGGGCCCTTAAGTGTTTTTTTAAGCTGTTTGATGAGTACTCCATGTTGAACTTAGGATTCATCACATTAATGCATGCTGCAGGTATATTTGAGGTGAGAGTGTATATGACGTGTGGGACACACGGAGAAAAGTATGACTATCTGTGCTCAAGGGGTACACAATGTTGAAGAAATTGAGAGCTGCAGAGTCACAGCTGTGTACACAGCCTGTGAGAGCAGAGACATAGAAGAGCCTAGGGAGCTGGAGAGGGCAGTGTCTCAGTCTGAGCTGAGCTTGAATGAAGGAGGAGTTGGGAGCCTGGTGAGGGTGAAGGTCATGAGGCCTCCTTGCAGAAGACAGCAACCTCACAGGGGCACCGAGAGGTGAAGAAGAGCCTGATGCCTTCCAAGCTATAGCTGGCTAGGCTTGGCTAGGACAGCAGCAGGAGAGTCTGGAGACCAGGCAGTCCACTTGGTAGATAATCACTGAGACCTGCTAGAGTCTCTGATAACTGAGATATGCCCCGGCGAGGGGTCACAGAAGCTCCCCTGAATAGGTAGCATTTGAGCAGAGACTGAGGAAGAGATTGGTGATCTGGTAGTAGGCCAAAGAAAGTACTTCTCAGCTGCGAACAGTGATGGTAGGCTTGTGACCTCGTGGCTGGGTGGGGCAGGAGTGCCAGCAGCCAGGTTCTATAGAAGTGTTCCATGAAAAGAGCTTAGAACTTTTCTCTGAATGACATGAGGGGTTGTGACTTCCCACAGAAGCATGGTGTGACCTATTGGGAAAGAATTTGATTTTTATCCACAAAATTGATTAGTTATTTAAGTGACTAGAATATTGAACTAAATACTAAAAAAAACCTTTTAAACAGTTGATTTAGTGGATGGAAAAGATACTTCATCCAGGGACTTCAAGAGTAGCCATACTCTGTAAAACATTGCCTAGGTACTCCAGCGTGTAGTCAGAGGATCTGCTTGAATTGGGGAACCCCAACTCTTAAAATGACTGAGCACTCCAGATAGGCTTATTTCAGGTAGCTTATCTAGTAATATCTACTGTGAATTAAAACTTAAGAGTGATTAGTGATCCACTTAAAAATAACAAAAAAACAAAAGTTATAAATGGGCTAGAGAGATGGCTCAGCAGTTAAGAGCACTGGCTGCTCTTGCAGAGGACCCAGGTTCAGTTCCCAGCACCCACATGGCTGCTAACAACCATCATCGGTAACTCCAGTTCCAGGGGAGCCAACACCCTCTTCTGACCTCCTTGGGCACTGCACAACACAGGTGCACTTACATACATACAGGGAATACACTCATACACATAAAATAAAAACTAAAAAACAACAATAACAACAAAAACCTAGCTTTAAGCATAGTGGTTTTCAATTCATGCCCAATAGAAGGCCCCAAATGAAATTTAACTTGAAGAATTTGCTACATACTGAAAACAAATTTTAAGAAAGTTTGAGGGGGCTAGAGTCACACCCGGCCAACATGAGTAACATTTTATGAAAATAACAAAATGGCCAGATGTGGTGGCACACGTCTTTAATCCCAGCACTCAGGAGGCAGAGGCAGGTGGATCTCTGTGATTTCAAGGCCAGCCTGGTCTATGTAGGGAGTTCCAGGTCTACAGGGAGCTCCTGTCTCAAAAAGACCAAAAATAAGTAAATAACAAAATGGAGGTGGAGAGATGGTCCAGTGGTTAGAACTGGCTACTTTTGCAGAGGACCTGAGTTCAGTTCTTAGCACCCATATGATGGCTAGCAATTGTCTGTAACTCCCCTGGATCCAACACCCTCTTCTGATACCCACAGGCATTGTATGATACAGCTGTACTCACATGCAGGCAATACACTCATACACATAAAATAAAAAGAAAATATTTTGCCGGGCGTGGTGGTGCACGCCTGTAGTCCCAGCATTTGGAGGCAGAGGCAGGTGGATCTCTGTGAGTTCAAGGCCAGCCTGGTCTACTTAGTGAGTTCCAGGCCAGCTGGGGTTGCAGGGAGACCCTGTCTCAAAAAGACCAAAAGAAAGAAAAAAGAAAAAAAAGAAAATATTTTAAAAAGAAAATAAAATGTGATGAGACATATCATTGTCTAACGTTTATCACATACCTTTACCATCTAACTTAATAGAAGGCATTTCCATTCTACTTTGGTGTTTGTTTTGTTATAGTTTATACCTATATAGTTTACAGAAGGCTCTATTTATGCTCGCTCACTACAGAGGGCAAGTAATTGTATCACAGGTTGGTCGTGTGGACCCTGGCTGCATTTTGAGATTGCGGTACTAGGGCAAGCCAACCAGAAAGGCCAGAGGAGATGGGAAGTCAGGGAGGGTCTCATGCAGGTGCCATCATTGAGGAGACTTTGGAGGATGAACCCTGAAAGCAGAGAATGGCAGAGGACATAGTATAAGCTGAGGGAAGAAAGTGCTGGTTCTGTCCATGCAAATAGTCAGTAGCTGCGAGCCTACAGGCCATGAAGGAGCAGGAGGTTAGGCTACTGTGATTGAAGCATAGCGGAGAGTACAATCCCCGGACTTCCAGAGAAAGAGGGTTGATGTGCTCACACATTATTTTGGAAATCTCGCAGGGGCAGCATGAAATACACAGAGTTTAGAGCTTAGTTGGAGAGGAGGCAGAGAAGCCAGTTCAGAAGTTGTTGGCTGTCTTCTGTCTAAAAGGAAATACAGGGGTGAGGGGAGGATGGTGTGTGAAGAACTGAGGTACCTGAGAGCTTGGATCAAGGTGCTGGAACCAAGGCAGAAGAGCAGAGCAGCTCCCAGGGGTGGAGGTGTTTGCTTTGAAACATTTGATTAGCGGGTGATCCCCAGATACCAGGTAAGAAACATTCATCAATCATTGGTTCCCTAGAGAGATTTAAAAGGTAAAAAGTTAGTGAAGCCATAGGAGTGGCTTGGGATGGTTCAGGTGATTGAGAGGAAGAGTCAGGCTGCAGTCTGAGCTCAAGAACAGGCATTGAAAAGAAGGTTCCTGGGACAAGTGCCTGGTAGCTGAGCATCTCACTTGTCCCTGGCCCTTTTTCCTACCTGTCTTAGCACTGAGGAGTGGCCACCTCTATCTCACCTCTCTTTGCTGGCATCTGTACACTTGGAGGAGATCCCCCTGGAGTGGAGCAGCACCTGCTCTCGGGGGCCAAGGGGTACTGACTTCACAGCATGGCTGTGCTGCGTGCTTAGCCCAGGCATCCCTGGGAAGAGAAGAGGGTCCATGCCAGAGCTCCTGGGGTATTTCCTGTTACTGATTAAAGAAGTCAAACTGAAGTCTGCACGGGAAAAATACAGTAGCTCATATATCAGGTGCCCCTAGGTATTTTATTTATCTGAAGCTTATTCTTTTCAAAGAAAAGAAGGGTATTTGATGCTTAATAACAAGTTGACTTTGTGCAAGATAGATAATTTGTGAAGCCTTGGCTCTCTGCTGGGCAGGGTGCAGAGTTAAACAGTGGAGAAAAAAGGAGACAGAGTCTCTGCCCTGTCAGAGCTCATGGACCGGCAGAGTTGATGGACTCATCATCTAAGATGGAAGAATGCCATGGGAGAGTGTAGGTATTGTAGCCAGACTACATGGAGTTAGATCCCGGCTCTGCCACTCACAGCACCTTGACCAAGCCTCTGAGCCTCCCTGTATCTTGGTTCTTCACCATAAGTGGATGATGATATTTCCCACCCCTGGAGCGTTGTAATAGAGGAATGAGTTATAGTGCATGTGAGCACTCAGCCTGTGTCCCTGTGCTAGTCACTGTCTACTACTTCAAGAATACGAACAAAAGGGGAAGTTTACAGGAGGCTGAGAATTTAGCAGTGTTGAATTTAGATGGGATGATCTCAGAAAATTCTGCTGTGGAAGAGGAAACAAGCCACAAGAGTGGGCAGGGACAGGAGCTGCTCAGAGTCGGCTGATGTGCTGAGTAGCCAGCTACATATGGGCAGTGATCAGAGGGTGCTGTGCCAGAAAACTGGGCAGCAGTCCCAGAGCATCATCTGTTTTCTGTCAGAGAACCTGATGTGACTGATTCAAAGGCTGTGGTTCTGGATTCCTTGGTCTGGTACCCAGAGCCCTTCCTCCCAGAAAGGAGTCCCACCCAGCTCAGGAGGTGGAGTGGCAGTTAAAACCAGGACCTCTTGGACTACCTAAGGTGACTGCCTTAGAATGGGGCTCCTGGAAACTGACTGCCTTGGTAACACTGATATGAACAGAACCTTTTCATATCTAAGCCAGGAGCCAGTGAACTCTGACCCACAAGCTAATCTGTTCTGGTGCCTGCTCTTGTACCACCATGGATAAGAGTATGTCAACATTTTCCATGGTTAGAAAGGGAAAATGACAAAGAACGGCATATGGTCCACAGCCTCTAAAAATACCCTGCTGTTGGGCACTTTACAGGAAGTTTGCCTTTATCAGCTAGTGCACGTGGGGCTTTCACTTGAGTGGAGTCCTCAGGGGTTGGCCCAGGAGGGTGGATGAGCTCTCCCTCCTCACTAATATTGGGTCTTTTATCTTGCAGGACAAATCCTTCAGAAAGACCAGGAAATCAAGGACCTAAAACAGAAGATAGCCGAAGTCATGGCCGTCATGCCTAGCATAGCATACAGTGCTGCCAGCAGCCCCCTGAGTCCCGTGTCCCCCCACTACTCTTCCAAATTTGTGGAGACTAGCCCCTCTGGACTAGATCCCAATGCCTCTGTCTACCAGCCCCTGAAGAAATGAAGACCAGCTGGGTATTTGCCCAACCATCTGGAACCAGAAGGCTTCGAAAAGCAGCGTCTCTGGCAGTCAAGATAAAAAAAAGTTTATATTGTATTTTGTGGGACTGTATATGTTGTCATTTTTAAAAAGGGGGAAAAATAACATCCAAGTTTGATTAGAACTGCCCATCAGTCGTTCTTGTAAATTTTTAGAAGACCTCACAGAACTTTGCAGTTTATTTTTCTTGGCCAACACATTAAAACCATTCTTGGATTTCAAGTAGCCAATTTTGCCTTTTATGTATTCTTACATAGTTTCCTCTTGAAGAAAAAAAAAAAGAATTTTTGCTTTTCAACTTTTTGTTTTGTTCTTAAATAAGCAAGAAAATTGCACATTGTATTCACATGGGACAACAACAGAAATTTAGTTTCTAGAGTGAGAGGGCTAAATAACCCAACACAACTTTGATTTCATTGCTGCATTAAGATGGTTATTTCTATTACAGATAAAAGGTTAGTTGCCCCTCCAAGGACCAGACAAATGCAGGGAACATCATTTAGGCTGAGAGACTTAGGTGACGAGGCTAGCAGTAAGAGTGACAGGGTGTGTTTGAGGCATTCATGTCCCATCGGTGCGTTTAGTTCTAGAACACAGTTAGAGCAGTCTTTGCAGTGCCTTGGGAAAGACTTTTCAAGAGGAAACTTGATCGTTTTCAGCTATTTCCCCCTTCTCTGTCATCTGTCTTCTATTTGTATCAAGCTCACTGCGGATCCTGTTGTACAACTGGTGGGTAGCTGGGCCGCTGGTTAGCACCACGCCTCCCCTTCTGTTTCTTTCCAGAGAACACCAACACCAGTGTTCTATGTTGGTTGCAGTCAGGCACCTTGGGGAGGCAGCTGGTGGCCTTCCTGTGAGAGGCTGCTGAAGCCGTGGCCCGGGTCTGGGTCCCACATGGCATTTAACTGTGCTTTCTTCACTTTTCATCATGTGTTGGTGATTTGAAAGAAGCTTGACTATTCCTGAGCTCTTGTGCCAAGGAGAGTTTTTTTGTTGTTTGTTTTTACGACTTAAAGCTCAAAAACTCTGCACAAAGATACTGGTTTCAACTGTGTATTATACATTGGTAGAAAGTGTCTGCACAGGCAACCTTTGGAAGTGTTTGAAGATTCAGGGAGGGGGGAGGGCATGGGACAGGGGCAAAGCAAGGTTGTATTTGGGAGCTTGGAGAAATTAAGAAACCAAATAGATTGGCTTTGCTTCCTTGCCCTGGGTTCTGGAAGGACATAGTTCTAAATTTCCTGTTAATTGGCATGTATATCTCATTTAAAGCAAATTAAGTAGGACAAACGAGTCAGTAAAATAGAAGTATTAGAGAGAATCATCCTTCTAAAAACAGATCTTATGTTGGGATTTAAAAAAAAACTTCTAGCTTTAGCCAGGTGTGCATGTTGCTGCCATTTGCATTTGAATCATCTTGTGTAACTGTCACCATGAAAGTGTTACTCGGAATTGTCATAGGTTTTTTTTTTCATCTTTGTGCAAAAAACATGGAAAACTGTCACTGACTTTGTGTTGAGGTTCCCCCATTTGCTGCCTTTGGGACACCATTTTCGTTAAATACTTGGTCTTGGCTGCATTCTTTTTTTTTCCCCTGTGGGGTTCAAAAGAATAAACATTTTCTTACTGATAAAACTAGTTTTCTTTCTTTTTAACTTTTTAGGAGGACACAGCAAGGTAGATGGTTCTGGGTGGGACTGAGGTAGCCATTTGTTTTCACCTCATGTCAGCCCGGGTCAGATGCGGTGCCCTGCCTGGCACTGGGGGGACAGCAGACACAGGGTTTAGAAGGAGGTGCCCTGACTTGATTTCCCATCTTAAGACATCCATCTCACGCTCTGCCCACCTCTCCTTCTCCAGCATCCATTAGAACCAAAACTGTCTTTGCTCTGGTATAACCTCCGCTCCTAAAACCCAGGCCGGAAGTGACCTGGAGAGTGACTGCTTAATGAGAAAAATCTTGACAAATTTCCTTCACAGTGCCGTGCCTTCTCCCACTTTCCAGAATCTTCTTTGGCTACATAGTGAGCAACACCCTATTGGGTTTTCCCTCTACTATGGATCCTGGACCAACCTTCAAGGTGGCCACATTCATTGTCCCACCCCACCCCCTTTGTTTCAGAGGCTCGTCTGTTTTCATCGTCTGAGACCAGCTGCCTCCCTTGGCCCATACTCTCCCATCTTGGCCATTATTACAATTGATCTTGGCTTAAATTCTGCTCTTGGCGTCTCGCCTCCATCCTTGCTGCTGGATAGCCTTTCTGAATCTTGGCCATTAAGTCTTGCAGACACATCGCACTGAATACCACAAGCAGAACTCCCCAGGGAATACCTGGGCTGGGCTTGGCCTTCCCTGAAGAGTATGTCCGCCCTCAGCATTGTCATAGGCACGTTCTCTTCTGCTAGAAATCTCCAGTTGTCTGTTATTTCAAGTCTATCACATAGTGGCTCTACAGCGTAGTATATTGTGATTTATTACATGCTGTAAAGCACTGTTTGCCATTCCAGATAATTAAATATTTAACCATGGGCTGAATGTTTTGACTGGCCAAGTACCCTCTTTGCTGACCCCCCCCCACAGCTGTACATAAGGAAATGGTGGTCATGTATTCATTGCCCCTCTTTCTAAGAGATCCTAAAAGTGAGAAGAAATGGTTCTTCCTGATGCAAACCTGAGGGAAGGGGACAGTTCTTTTCCGTCCTCCCATTGTCCTGTGCTGCCTGGCTGTGTGAGGCAGGCTCTGGAAGGCCAGACACTTCAACAGCTCCATCAGATTGCTGCTTGTGAGATTCATGCCACAGCCCTGTGATGCACACCTGTAATCCCAGCACTGGGGAGGCTGAGCAGGAGCATTGCAAGATCAAGACCAGTGAGCCTGGAACCATAGTAAGTTTGAGACCAGCCTGGGCTCTAGTATGAAATCCTGTTTGAAAGAAACAAAAATAACAAAATTCAGACCACATGGAAGGGAACGATGAGGGTTTTCTCCATTGTGTGTGTGTGACTCTTCCACCTTATTCATTGAGGCAGAGTCGTGTGTGTGTGTCCCACCTTATTCATTGAGGCAGAGTCCTGTGTATGTGTGTGTGTGTGTGTGTGTGTGTGTCCCACCTTATTCATTGAGGCAGAGTCCAGTGTGTGTGTGTGTGTGTGTGAGAGAGAGAGAGAGAGAGAGAGAGAGACTCTTGCATCTTACTCATTGAGGCAGGGTCCAGAGCTCACCAATATGGCCGATCTCACTAGCCAGCTTGCTCTGGGGAATCCCCTGGTCTCTGCCTTCAGAGGCTGAAATTACAGGCAGGCCGCCATACCCACCCAACATCTATGTGGGTTCTGAGGATCCAAACTCTGGCCCTCATGCTTGCATGGCAATCTCTAGTCTTTGAGCCATCCCCAGCCCTCAACCTTGCTTCTTTCCAGCCAAGCAACATTTGCCAAAACCATCCGCTCCAGTGCCCTGCTCTGCTGTAATTCATGCAGAGCCCTGTGGCCTAGCCACACTCCCTAGACAGTGGGAGTCAGTTCCCAGTTTTGCCACTGCTGGCTCTGCCCTAAACCTCTCTGGGGACTGCTGCTTCACTGTGAAGGAAGAAGCGTGTCCTGGCCGATTTGCCTGCTTAGAGGAGATGCTGTGGGTCTGAGACAGGATGCAGAGCACTCAGAACCATCCAGGGCCTCTCTGCAAGACCAGACCAGACCTGGCTAAAGGACCTCCAGGGCCAGCTCTGTCCACAGCTTGGCTCCTAAACTAGTGAGACTCACATGTGCCCAGCAGCTGTGGGCCAGCAGCACCCACATCCATGCTAGACTCTCAGGCTCTCCAGACCCCTCGCCGGTGTTTCACACTGCATTTTTAATGAGGTCTACAGTGATTCAGCTGCAAAGTTAGAAGCCCCATTCTGAACTGACTTTCCCAACCAGAAGACTAGAAACGTCCTCCCTCTTCCCATCCAGAAAAGCCTATCTCAGGCTTTAAGTTTAGATCGAAGAGCTTAATTGATGAGGAAGGCATGCAGGAGGTGAAGATCTACAAGCCTTACTCTTTTTTTTTAAAAAAAAAAAAAGCCAAACACTTTTTTTTTTATTATTATTTATGTGTATGTTTAGTGAACACCACTTGAGCCTGGGTGCTGATAGAAGCCAGAAGAGGTCATCAGATCCCTTGGAGCTGGAGTTTCAGGTGGTTGTGATCCACCCAGTATGGGTGTTGGGAATTGAAGAGCAGCATGCGCTCTTAACCACTGAGCCATCTCTCCAGCCCCCATGCTCACTCCTCTTAATTACGTCTCCCACTCTCAGAGGCTCTGTGAGGGTCAGGGCTTTTGTCTGTTTACTGTTACACTCTCATATCCTACAGTAATGACTGCCACGTAGTAAATGTTCAGTTGATGTCAAATGACCCCAGTTAGTTTGCTGCTGGGCACATGATCCGATGTGTGAGTTGTCTCTCAGAGCATCTTGCAACCAAACCATGCGAACAGGTCTAAACAGAACTGTTTCCAGGGCAGGCAGATAGCGGAAGGAGTCCGTTTACCATGATGTCACCCATCTGTCTGTTTTCTGCTGAATCCTTGTTTTTTTTTTTTGTTACATTTCTTTTTTTTTCTACAAATGCCTGCTTGATCTAGCCAGGTGCAAAGATTTCCTAAACGACTAGGTTCTCTGAGAACAACTCTGGCAGGAATCCCTAACGCCCTCTGCCCTCAGCCACAGGGGACATGGGGGACAGGAGGGAGGACTAGCCATGCTTTCCCTATTTTGAACCTTCACCTGACTTTCCAGAGCTAACCCTGCTGCCTGGAGAGGGGCTTTTCAGGTTACTTCCTGCAGGAGGAATCTGGCTGCCCCCATATCTCTTAACACCCCTCCCTTCCTCCTTCCTCTGAAGGGGCCTGCTTGACCCATTCCAATATTTGCCTTTGGTTCCTCCCTGTTGCTTAAGGTTCAGGTCCCCTCGGGTTGGGCTCTTTGGGTCCTGGAATCTCCTCCAGTAGTAGTCTCGATTGCTCACATCAGAATCCCAGACTTAGCTACACACTCTAGCCCCAGAAGCCAAGACCAGTGTTCCCTGGAAGCTGGTCCGTTCTACTGTTTTCCAGCACTGCAGTTTCTGGACACCTTAGGGGTGACGGAGGTAGAGTTAAGGGTAGTTGGGACCTTACGAAGTGAATTTGACCTGGAACCTGCATGTTATTTTAATTTCTTATATTTATTGTGTAGTGGGTGGGGGGCCTACCACGACATATGTGAAGATCAGAGGACAGCCTGTGAGGGCCAGTTCTCTTCTTCCACCATGTTGGCTCCAGCGATCAACTCAGGCCATCAAGCTGCAAGCACCTTTACTTACTGAGCTATGTCTTCCATTTTTCCCCGTGACTGCTTGGCAGTGATCAAAGATGGGGTTTTGTCCTGAGAAGCCTGTGTTGGATTCTCACTGTCAAGCTGGCTCCTGCAGATTTACAGTAATGGTAGAGCTCATAGGGACAGCCTGAAATAGCTGTTAAAGCATGAGTCATTGGGCCCCACCCCTAAGTTTCTGATATGCCAGGTCTGGGGCAACGCCCCCCAAAATGCAATTTGAATAAGTTCTAGGGAGATTGGTTCCTGGGTCCTTAGCCCTACTTTGAGAGCTGCTGACCACTGAACCACTGACAGGGCCCAGTACTGCCTGAAGCCATGCCCACCAGCTGCCACCAGAGGGCACAGGCCACCTCTGCAGGAGTCCTGGCTCATCCAGCCACCAGCACCACTGGGCAGCAAAGACTTCCTTCTCCCTATGGCTTGTTAACTGTCTTCAGGAAGAGGAACAGCAACCCTCCCAAATGAGTGGGCCTCTGTCTCTGACAGGCACCAACAGTCAGGTGGGTCACCTCCAGCTCTGGAGAAATGTAACCAGTAACCAACCGTTGCCAGTGAAGGTTTCCCTGGCCTACTGGATCAGGGACCTCCTTTTAGAATCTAGTTAAGATGGCAGGTGATTTTTGCTTTTTCTGCACTTTCCTATATAGATCTCTGATAGGCCATGGGTCCTGTCCTGTCTGCATGTCAGAATCATCTGGCAACATGCCCATCTGGCACATGCCATGGCCAGCCCCCCAGACAGCCTGGCTGAACTGGGCTATTTGTTTGAATTCATTAGGAAGATTGGGAAACTGGGAAGTAAGGGCCTTCAGAGGATGCTTCTGTCCAGGCTGGAGCTAGCGCCTCAGAGGACTGATGGCTGTGGGTGATGGCCTAGTGCTGGAGCCAGGGCTACAAGTGGTGTCAGCCACTAGAATGGAGCCGTGAACAGACCTGAGTCTGCTGTTTTTCCCTTGACTCGTCCTTCTGATCACTGGCCCCCCTCCAGGCCCTCCTCCCAGTTTCCCCTGGCCAACCACATCTGTCACACTGATATTTACCAAAGTCAATTAACCCTCAGATTTCCAGAGAAATTCTATGAACATCGTGTCAATTTGTGGTCTGTATGTT